CCTTTGAGAGGGTCAGTCTGTAAATTTCCCTTGGGTATCACTTAGCTTAGTTCTGAGTTATAAATTCATTTGCCTAATTGAATATTAATAGGCCATTAAATGAGATTACATAAAGCACACTTGTTGATATCTCCCTGTAAACTCCCAAAGGTTAAGCTCTCTGCTAGATTAATAATAAGGAAGCAGTGATAATTATGGAGGTAAATTATGCAGGCTCTGCACATTTTCTGTATTTCCATTTGTTATGTCATATTATTTTATACACTGTCATCATTTTTCAAATATTGAGACTTTCATCGTGCGACTTTGGTCTCTCATGGTCCTGAAACTGTAATCTTATTTAAGGGGTGGATTGAGACCATCTTCTACACACACTGGACAAAAGAAGTGTCACCCCTACTGAGCCAATACTATGGGGGAGATAAATGACTGTGGAATGATATGCTCCTGGTATCATTTTATTAACATCAAATTTCACAAAAAATCACAAAATGAGAACAAAATATACATTCTACCAAAATATGCAGTTTCAAGTCAAAAATTAGTACTTAGTGGCATAGCCACGTGACCTAATAATAAGTGCCAGTCTACGAGGCAAGGATTCATATAATTGTCTGATGCGTTCAGGGCTTATGCTGGCCCAAGCATGAAACTCTGAATATAACAGAGTTTCTCTGCTGGTTAGACGGACATTTGTAAAAAGTTTTGACATATCATTCCACACATTTTCTATTATGTTTGCATCCGGACTCTGGGCAGGCCACATCACCCTGCGAATGTCCTGTTGGTTAAACCAATCATCAACTGCTCTGGGCCTGTGACAAGGAGCATTGTCATCCTGGTTAACAAATGGATAATTCCTGACACCAAACATGTTAGTAATAGATGGTAGCTAGCCTGACTCCAAAACATCGATATATTTCTAGTGATTCATGTTTCCATTAACCACTATCAATTCGCCCAAACCATGGATGCTGATGCAGCCCCACACCATGATGAATATGCTGCTCCGGGTTCGAAAATTCAGTGCATGTGGTTCAAATGCTTTACCAGCAGTTTGCCAGCATAGTACCCGTCTGTCATCAGAGGTCAGACCAAAGCGACACTCATCAGAAAAAATATTTAGGACCAATTGTCATGAACTGTCCAGTTCCAGATCCTGTTGACCCTAGTTTACTCTACGTTGCCTGTTTTGCAACGATATAAGAGGTTTCAGTCTTGCTACCCTGCTGTACACTCTCTGAGCATGTAACCGACGCCTTGCAATTTTCACAGACACATTCTTATGTGTGAAATTGTTCCACTGTGTTGTCAACTGACAAGCAGTGTCGAACTTTGACAACCTGGACATCAAAATCAGTCGTCGGTCTTCACGGCCAGTATTTTTTCTTGGATGTCCCATCAGAGGCAATTTGTCTCTTGATCCAGTGTTTCTATACCGAGACCAGACCCTCTGCACGGTTCTGACTGAACAATTCAATTGTATCGGTATTCTGACATTGCTTATATTCCGCCTCTTCAGGTTAATAACTTGCACCTATAACTGTTAGATAATTGCCTGTATCTTGCCATATTGGAGGAAGACAGGAATAACATTTGCTGTACATGTACAAGACCAACAATACAGTTCCATGGTATAGCGGTTTTATACTCATTAGTCACATTATACGTAGACCAGGCATTATAAGTACCCAAGATCTGCCTACTTTTATTACTCTGAGTTAGGGGGTGACACTTCTTTTGTCCAGTGTGTGTAGGTCTTCCGTAAGACAGTCAGGTTATTAAGTTTATATTGACTTGTATCTATTTTTTTTCTGTTGGAAGACCATCAAAGTGGAGGATGGATCAACATAGATACTTTGGAATACTGTCAGAAAATATCTCAGGGTCTGCTCCTGTTATTGACCATGTTACCTGTTGTGCATGGTTAAAATTCAGTGTTGACTGACAGTGCTATTATAAGCATTATTTATTATTGCATCAAAATTGACAAAATGACCTATTTTGCATCTTTATTTTCTGTTTTTTGTCTGTACATTTGACAGCTTTGCTGCCTTGTTTTATATTCTCTATTCACTACTTTTCAGTTTCCTTCTCTCCATTTTTCAAATTTCTTTCTCGATCCCATTCAATCTCTTGCGGCGTCCTCTCTGTTTTACGTTGTACATGCCGCTGTTTAAGTATGGCACATTAAGAAAACGTGCCAATCAATTCTACAGAGCACTCCACGCACTTTACTCACTACATGAATACTAAACACCAACATTATAAAGGTACTGATTAATTCATCTGAAACTGAAGTTCAGATTTTATTTAAACATTTTAAACATTTTTATGTAAAATCGCCACAATGTCGCAACACTCTATTCTGAACTTATGAACCATGGTCTAGTATCCCGAAAAAATGAAGAAAACTTGTAGAAAACAGGTAGAGAACCTCGTACCAATACGAGTTCGTAGAGTGTAATATACCTGTACAGTACTTACAAAATACAACATTACAACAGAGTGAATTATTTATAAGACACGAAGCACCTATACTGAAACAAAGGATTATGCGTAGGATATCATATTTCTAATTAATTGCGATTTACAGGGTTTCCATTTCAGACCCGAAAGCATCCAATAAAGATTTAAAAGACAAATGTTGGGCTTACATCCTGATATCCGATGCGATAGACGTGATAGGCAGGCTATACAATATATATCACCTCTTTATGGATGTGGTCCGTTCTGAAACGATTTCACCTCCCATGGGAGAACACAACGCATACAGCGGCGTATGTGGTGCTCGGAGTTATCTTTCACAATTTACAGCGTTATCGCATGATACATTACCCTCAGATTTATTTAGTTCTCTTTGTCCCCAACGCGAGTGAAAAACTGTGGAGAAATGTGTCTTGACTTAACCAGGGAGATGTGTCTGTGAATATCTATTGAAAATTCAGTCTGTGGCATTGGTAGAGGGTAATGATATAGAACCAGGTCTTACATACCCCCCCCCCCCCCTACTCGATTCCCTTCTTAAATGTCCATACGCTGAGTGCTAGTTTGTGAGGAGATAGGGATATGCCTACTTTTTTATCATGGGGTTTTGTTAACCTCTACCAGGGGCACAGATTGAT